CGATTAGACACGTTCTCTCGCGCGAACATTCACACTCGCATGCTCGAGCCGTCTGCGTCTCCGCCCATACAGCGTGCGTTGAGGATCTCTCAACGTGCCGTTGCGAACTGCGCAACGCAGGGTTGACTCTGGTTGTTATACCCAGTACACCTGACATGCACTTCATGCATGGCTCCATCATCAGGCCGGTGTCGAACTTTCCGAATCCGTGGACTCGCTAGCGAATCGCGGACACGAGTCGCACCAGCGGCTTGAACGATGTGCCAGCGGATTGAACTATGCACTGGCAGTTTGAACGATGTGCCTACTTGACAATGTTCGAAAATGGCGGGAGTCAGTCTCGTTTAGACGTACCCTCGCCAAATCCCGGGCTCTCACACTTCTCGCTCTCTCATACCCTTGCGAGCCCGAGAATGTGGCGAGAGTCAACGGGCAAACAAGAGGAAACGCGCCAGTTTGGAAACTGTTGAGTAGCTAGCACCTCGTTTGAAGGGCTGCAGTATTCGATTAGCTGGCCCATAATTCGATCCGCTGGCGCATCGTCCGAATTCGATTCGCTCACGAATCCACAGATTCGCAAAGTCTGACATCGGCCTGAGTCCGCTCACGGCTCAATAAAGTTAGCCAAGAAATCTACTCACAGTTGAACAACGTTAGCCAAGAAACTCAAAAAATCGATTCGGATACAGCTCAGAGACCGCTAAAAATTGGGCAGAGGATGGCGAAGGAAGAGAAAATAAGTGAGGCGTACACCGGAAGTGCGGTTCTCCACGAAACTATAAATCGTTTGGAGACATCCTTCTAGAGATGATGCTGCCAGCGGGGCGGGTGCGCGTGTGCGAGCAGGGTGAACCGTCACGTTTGGTACCGATTTCTACGACCCCCCCCCTCTTGGAGAGTCTCCATACGACCCCCCCCCCCCCCCGCACTCATTATGTACTGTACACTGCTAAGGAAAAGCTAACACTAGGGGAAATAAGTGCAATCTACAAAAATCTAAAGACACTTGGCTTGAATTCAAACACAGTTAGCAGACGAGCTCTAGTTTCCTGATATCCGGTAATTTACTAATGCATAACATCGCAAAACGAACTGCCTTCATTAGTTGCTAAACAGTACTGCCCTTTAGTTCGAATGGCGCTTTGCCTGCCTTTCATGAATGGGCGTTCAGAATCACAAAAAATTTCCATTTCGATATGCAAGCGCATATCAAACGAGTGCATGGCGCATCTCAGAGCATGAGAGTATACAGCAGAAGTGTCCGATTGGAGCACGGGAGCGTTGCGTTCGCATTGGCGCGCGCAATCTTCCCCTCGGCGCAGCGCGGGCAGCGAGAAACAGACTATTGACTTTCAAATAAGCGTAATTTTGTTCAATATCAATATTTCTTAAACGCTAAGTAGATTTGTCATCTACAAAACTGCTTGTTTCAGAAGGTAACCACGATTATGCCTCATCTTCAAAACTACGTCAGTTATGGGGTAGAGAACAAAGAATTCACAGAAATGCGCACTTCGTCCTTTGAAAGGTTGTAACTTTCTTCAAAGAAGGAATTATGAGGAGCGGTAAGAAAAATTGGAAAGCTCAGACTGTTTTCTTTCTAAAAAGTGCTCAAGCTTTCGCAAAAACTCTTTCCTTCAAAAAATCGCCCCGTTGGACCGTTTTTTTTCGCAAGACCAGGTTTTTTGGCTTTCAATGGCTATAACTTTCTTCAAATTCCACCTTCTGCGATTCTTGTCCCCCTGGTTGAAGAAGAAGTTAGAGCTTTCTAACGAATACTTGAACTCCTTTCAAAGTTGAAGGAGTCAAAAAATCGCCCCGTTGGACCGTTTTGGGAAATCGCGGACCGATTTTTTGCAGAGCGCTGGTTTTTTGGCTTTAAATTGTTATAACTTTCTTCATATTGAACTTTTTGCAGTTCTTGTCCCCCTGGATTGAAGTAGAAGGTTAGAGCTTTCCAACGAATACTTTTTCTTTCCAAAGTTGAAGGAGTCAAAAAATCGCCCCGTTGGACCGTTTTTTTTTCATGAATTTTCGGCGCTACTCTCCTGAAAACACGGGTTTTCAACACTTAAACACTGACAACTCTCTTCAAACTCAATTTTATCGGGAATTATGATACCGTGACATCGCACGAGCTCTGTGCTTCATTACAGATGCTGAAACCCATTTCAAGAATTGCCGAGAGGCAAATATTTTTGTTCCCAAACTTTTCTTGTAGCCCTTCAGCAGTCAATCTACCAAAGAGGTCACTCTTTTATTAACTTAGGTCCAGTTTGAAGGCATTGGTTCACCTCTAGGATTATATTTGTGTACGTGCGCAGTCAAATATGGATACTTCTCGCAGTAGACTCTTTCTGCTCTGATGTCGTCCATGTCGCCTCATTTGTCGTCTCAATAGGTTTGAAGAACAAAAATACGTTAAGATTAACCTCCTACTGCGCGAGAACTAACGTCTTGATTCTAATCGTTCGATGGTCCCAGCAAGAGCCAACAGCTGCGAGCTTCATCACAACACACATTAGGTTCCTTATAGCGAAAACCACCTCTCGTCATCTACACCCAAAAACCTCTTCGTACTGCAACGTTGACTCCTGCGAATACGACCCCCCCTCTAGCGCGGCCAAATACGACCCCCCCCCGTTGGACTTTGTCCAACGGACGGTTGACCCTGCTGTGGATCACCCCTTTAAAGCGCACTGGATTCCGTCCATCCAGGTTAATGATTCTTCTTTCCGAGACTTGCCCAAAAGATCTGAGGGAAAAGTGGATGGATCTAGCGAAGGATCAAATGCTGAAACTGTGTAGCGGAGAACGTGTACGCGGAGTAGACAGATTATGACCACCGATAACTGCCTGACGTCGTTCCTGAGACAGCCATGTAGTCTGTGGAAAAATCCCGGGACAAAGGTGTTTGAGAAACCGTTGGTCAAGGTGGTGCTGGCTACCGAAGTGTCGTTGCAGAAAACCTCACTATCTAAGAGGTGTTCGAGACCAATGAAAGAAGATGTGATATACAACTAGGCGCAAAGAGCAATACATTATATTGGTAGATTGGGCTGAATTTGAGGAAATCGGCTGCACCTTTCATATCGCTGCAGAACCGTGTTATGCGCACAACAGCGTCTGCCAGCAGCTGGTTTTGTATGAATCCTTATTCACTGTAAATTTTTGCAAAGATCACACTTAGAATAGGTACTGCTAGTAAAAATGAGATTATTGAAAATGTTATAAAGCGTGAAATCTACCACTGAGTAGTCGATTTATCAGCTAGCTGTCCAAATAAATGATTGTCAAGTGTTTTTCAGAACTCTCACATGTTGCCCGTTGGCTGGACACGATTCGTTTAGATGACATTGAAGAATACCATGAACCATTGTGAGCGTCATCCTTACATTGACTATAGGTATCATAGAATACTCCAATAACTATAAACAACTAATCTATGTGTGTACAAAACAATTTAATTAATATATTTGACGTTCCAAACAATACGTCCGTCAAAAAAGCAAAGCTCGAATATTTATAAAATTTCAGCCCTGAACCATATGATGATTCTGATGAAGCGGCAGAAACCTATTCAACAGATGTGGCATGCGATAACTAAAAAAATTTATTTTATTCAATTTATAAAGTTTTCGAAACATTAACACGCAACACTGACAAAAGACAAATATCACTCAACGGCACTACACTCGGATCTGTGACAGCAAGTCACTGAGCGACGTCGCGCCGCCTGCGATTCAAATTTCGCGCCTGATTCAGGTTTAACGTATCATGACTTTACCTATTCACAAATTCATGCATGCAGTTAAGTGCATATTATTCACAACGTCCAAGTAAGACGAGAAATTCGAACTTCAAGCGGCGTGACTTCGCAAGGTGACTTTCTGCCACATACCACTGTACTCAAGCAATTGATAACATAATGAAGGAATGATAATGAACCGGTGCCTACGCTTACCCCAAACGTTCCTATTAGGAAAAAATCTCAAATATGACTGAAGTGTTAAACGTTCAAATAACATGGACGTTCCCAAACAGTTTCTAGCAGACAGCAATTAAAAACATTTCAATAGAGCTAGGCACTTAGTCACCCAACCAAGCTTTGACTATTTCTCAACAGAATAAACTTTACTAATCAGGTAGGTTTAAGAAGCTCTTACCTCTTTTCGAATGGCCAAAAACAACATGAATTTCTCTAATACATGTGAAACAAAATAAATAAAACAGATTGGCTCAATAATCAGGGAACGGCTCAGCGGAGCTTGTTCGTCAAACTCCTTAAATAAGGTCCCCTACTGTACAATAACAGTTGCGTAATGAACTTAAGGAGAATCTCAGAAATTTGTGTATGCACTACATATGAGTAAGGCTTCTAAACAATGTAAAAGCAGGAATTAAGGCTCAGAAGGAAGGGGTAGTCTAGGGTAGTCTCTTCCATTTCTAATTCGGAAAAAAAAGTTTGTAAATAACCAATGATGTTCAGCAGCTGCACTACTCAACTCCAAATAAATGTGCCGATTGAGGCGTGCTGAATTGCTGCCAAAGTAGTGAAACCGAATAGGAGGCTCACTAACTGACAAGCATTCGTAGTACCTGCAACCAGCTTGGGTACAGATCAACTTCAGGAGATCTTGGAGTAGAGCTGTACGGATTCCTAAAATAAATCGCTCTTGCCCAAATGTCAGTCAAACGCAATCTTTCCTATTTTCATCGGAAATGCTTCAAGTGAGGGGAAGGTACAGAACGATTCGGTTTTAGAGCGAAATATCCATGCTCGCTCAAAAGTGGGCTGTGCCTTTGAGTGAAACACACTACTGTTGAGTGAAACACTTTGAATTACTGAACCTTTTTCTGATGAGCCCTAATGTCTTCTCTAGATCTCCAGTGTTCTAGTTACTAGCATAAAGACACAATGCAACAGAGGCGTTATTTGAGAACATTTCACATTCAAAAGCACTTACATTCCCTCCAAGAGTCATTTTCGTATGCAGTCATTCTATCCGTTCAACACCTTGTCCAGGTGGGAGCATGGTGTAAGCTGTGACATCAGCTAGCACATCACAGCCAGTCGCTGATACACCTACTTTCTTCTTCGGACTAGTCTGAGAAGCACTGAAAAAGACAACTTCATCAGTAGTGGACAATATTCGTAATCAAAAATTCGACAGCATACTAACACTAATATAACTTATGGTTAGGATTATGGGTCAGTTGAGTAGCTCCAT